TTTATCCATTTTAAAATACAGACAAAAGGTATCCGGAAGTCACCAGAATTCGGCATGCAGTATCTCCTGGTCTCTTGTACGGGTCACCAAAATTCCGAAAATAAGCCCCGGGGCTTGTATTTTTCAAAGACCCTTTTTGAGGGGCTTATTTTAGGAGGGGCCTATATTCGGAGGGGCTTATGTACGGAGGCAAATTTGCGTTTCAAAATCGATTGGGCTAGCTTGTGGTGGGAAGGAAATTTACCATTTTTGCTTTGTTTTGCTTTGTATTCGAGGGCAAATTCCAAGTACAAGCCCCCCGGGGGGCTTATATTCAGAGGGGCGATTTAACAGAGGGTTTTTGCATTACGACTTTGGGGGACTTATATTTGGAGGGGCTTATACATGGAGGGGCTTATTTTCGAAATTTTATGGTATTTCATTAAGAAAGCCATGCAAGTATTATGTAACGGGCAAAATTTCTCGGAAATTATAATTAAAGTGTCATATTAAAGTGTCAGATTCAGTATTGCTTGATCTTTTTATTGTACCAAAGTAACTTTAATTTGGTTGCCATGGCAACCATTTTTCATCATTTTGTCCTCAATCGGGAGCCCAGATAAAGCATCCCTTTAACCTGTCACTTACCAACCAAAAATTAGATCTATACGAATAAGTACAGTTAAATTTACGATGTTTTTTTCCTGGAAAAAGAAATGGGCCTGCCCACCTGGGAACAGAAATTGATGGCATAGCTTCCAAGCGAATACCGGCACCCCCCTCTTTTTTTCGCTTGTTTGACTTTACAACCAATAGGCTGCCTACACAAAAAGAATGGACAATTTTCTATGTTCAGAAAAAAAGATATAAAGGAAAGTATAAAGCCAAAACCCATTTTTTCATTTAAATTATGGTAACCATGGTAACAAACTTAAGGGAAGTGCTTCCTCGACGTATGCGTTTTCGTACCAAAAGCCTTTTGAAAGTGTTACTCTTGTCCAACTCTAAATGTATATAACCTTATTTCGTACAATAGTATTCTGAGTGTTGTCAGGCCTAATTATTGATATAGTCCATGGTGCAAGGCAGCAAACCGGAAGTTTCGAAAATTGCCTCAAAGGTGGTATGTTTGAGCCCTCGTAGCTCGTAAACGAATACCGGCACCCCCCTTTTTTATTTTGATTTTGAAGTCCCAGTATGATGAATAGTTAATAGACAAAATTTGAGAAAAAATCTATGTTAAGTTCTATTTCAGGGGAATGACCTTAAGTGAAGTGAGAGCCACCCTGTTGAGGGTGGCTGACCGTCTGTCCTCGTTGGAAGAGACACCATCTCCAAGTAAGTATCGGGCAATCTTTGTCAAGTATGAAGAAGTTATGTGTTCAATAAAGTTCGTGCGTAAGCGCCGACACAAGCTTACATGTACGCATAACTAGCGGCAGCATCATTTTGATCACTTCACGCGCGCTGCGTAATGGACGGCATCGATCGTAGAATGAAATATTTCCGAAAGGTTTTGCTTGCAATACTCTTGTCTTTATGTTTTTACTCATTTCTTTATTGTGTGAGAATTAAGGAATGAATTTTGATTTGTTGCCCAGCAATCAAGAATCGGTCTGCATAAAACGCCACAGGCACCCCAATCTCTGGCCTCCCATGCAGACTACACAAGCTCTTGTGTCTGAGCAATTCAAGTAATGTAAGCAATGGGTAATACACAAAAAGCTACAGTGCTCGCACACCGTACATGTATTTATTTAATAATTATGTCAGAGCTCTCTGTAGTTAAATTTGTTTGGATTGGCTGTTGAGAAGGTTCTGCTTGAATATATTTATTATTATAATTTTTTTATTTTTAGACAGCACCAGAAAGGTACAACAGAATACAAATCCTTCTCCAGTTGCTTGTCTGTCTGCTTCTGTTGCTGCTGAACAGCGCAGGCTGTTTAGCCATGGAAACAATGCAAAACGAGCACGTTCTTCTGGCAGCTCTCTTCCAAAGTCCAAACGAAATGCTACATGTACTTTAAAGTTTGTGTGTCTAGCTGCCAAGGAAGAGGCAGACCGTCCACCAATGTCTGTGAAAAAAAAGAACGGCACTGGCAAATGCTGGCTTGGGTGATGCTAGTATTACCTTTGGGTATAACAAGAGCTCTGTGTACAATGGAATCATCCAACGATTTCCTCAATTGAGTGAGGTTGGGGGTTTTGACCTGCTGTTGTTTCAGAGAGGTAATGGGGAGGGTGCAGGGTTCCACAGAATTCTTCCCCCACACACACCTCAAAGGCTGAAGGAGTTATGTGGCCAAGCAAAAATTTTCATACGACCTCTCCAAAAGGACATTGAACTTGATGACAAAGGTGGAGAAGATAAAGAAGATGTAAGTTGGATAGCAGAAATTAACAAGCTACAATAGTAGTTTCAGTGACTCTTTTCGCTTTATTTCTTGTTCAGTTGGTTTTGTATTGTAATTAGCTGTGTTTTGGATTAATTAGGAGGAGAGCATTGTTGGTAATATTTATAATAAAACAAATTATTTGTTGAATTTACTGATGAGAGTATGTGTACATGTATGCTTATTTAAGTTAAATTTATAACCTTGTTCTTTTAACCTGCCCATGGGTTTGTTATATATATGTACAGTATATTAAATTCAGTCTGGAATATACATTATATCAAGCTTCATTATTTTCTTACTGTGAAAGTAGTGGATTTTTTGTAATATCAAATGGAAATGATGTTAAAGTTTAAGATGTAGGCGCTATAAGTTAAAATGAAATTCAGATTACAGTGGTTTCAGTCTTTGTTTTGTTTTCTTTTTTAATTTTATTTGTCTCATGTTCATAAACATTTTTCAGAACAAAGGAAATCCTAAAACAAACTGTAGCTGAAGAACATTTTGACATGATTTACATTGTTTATACGCTTCAATTATGTGTGTATTTTTAACTACTGCTTACATGTATGTTTGTTGATTTGCCTACCCTTCTAAATGATTATTTAGGTTGACAGTGATGTTCCTATGATTAACTGTTTTACCTGTGGTGCTGCTATTATCATGACGGATATGCAGGAGCACCAGGAGACTCACCAGCAAGGAGAGACCAAGCAGCCTGAAGATGACTTTGAATTCAGTGCTGGTCAGTACATTAAGCTTGCTGAGTATCATGATCCATACTCTTTGTATCTTATTTATGTCATAAATAATGTGCAAATGTAACTAGGGCTTGAAAGTACAATTCAGTGAATACTTGAACAGCTGAAGAACTTTCTTCTTTGTGATATGACGTTATGACACCTTTAAATTACAATCATGTTTAACTGAGGAGAAAGCCTCTTCAAATCTTACATCACAAAGTTCACCTCCTTCCTGGGGGGAGGGGAGGATACTTTAGGAATTTCTGGGTAGGGATGTACTACTGGGACCCTGGGACCCTTAGCCTATACCAGAGCTAGTTCAGCTGAATTTTGCTACTCTATTCTAGACTACTATCCTATAGTAGTTTTGTAGGCTGAGTTTTGTAAAGTTAAACGTGCTGATTTGATTTTTTTATATATTTTTGAGTGTCAATTCCCAGTTTCTCTATTGTAGACTAAAACTTTCAACCAATTCCTGGAAAATAATACCCTATTCTAGACCCAAACTCTCTGATTGATATACCCTATCCCAGAGTAAACTGCTTAAAAACCATTACCCTTTACAGTGGCACATACTTATTTGTGGCAAACATACATGCCAGTACCACCCCAGGACCTCCTCCCTTAGTGGATGTATTTTCTGTTATCTTATATTTGAAGTAGAGTGCTGTAAATCAAAGGAACTCAAAACCCACTCAGTAACATTATGTTTTTTATAGACAATTACAGTAACTGGGAACCTCCCCCAATGCTCCAGCCTTCTCAGTCACAGAAGCAGCAGCAGGATGAAGGTGTGTATTGCAAGGGGACAAGATCCAGCAGAGTAGTATTCATCATAACTTCATAAGGCGTGTCATAATAAAGCTTTCCCTGTATTGGAAGTAAATTACAAGGATCATATGGCATGCCATTGGTGCCAAAATTATGATGCAAATTTTAATATAAAATTTGTTTTTTCACATTTTTTTCCCAATTTTGGGGTACACATTGTCTTTTAGTTTGCACAGACTTCCTTTTTGGGTTGATTTTTCTTTATTAGACTTGACATTGGGTTGGTATAGTTTTCAGTTTTGGTCAGCTTTTTATAATGTGTAGACTTTTCATTCGGGTGAACTTTTCATTGTCATTGCATCAATTCAAGTCACGCAATACTGGTGACATCTCCTAAGGGATCATGGGAAATGCATTTCCTGTGCTGCCAGTCTGTTGTTTATGCACTGCCATAAAAAAATAGCAGGGCAGACTGTGCATACCTACCCTCCCAACCATGGGATAAAACATTGACAGCCACCACATTTTTTGGGGGATCATTTAAATCAATCTAGAAATGGGGTGAAATTCAACTCCCTGCAGAAAAATGAAGAATGAACATCTTTCAGCTGGAACCAACAAGTAAAAACAGCCAAAGGTATATTAAATATACCTTTGGCTATTACTAACCTTGTCTGTTAGATGTTAAATTATGCAACACACAAATTTTCATTATGTAACATTACTTTACTTGTGACTGTCTCTGCATAGCTGTTCAGTCTTCAATAAAATTGCCTTTATTGAGTTATTTTTATTACTTTGTGAAAAGGCAAAGAAATAAGCATTACATGATATATTCAGTTTATTCAGCAGCAGCCTGACTTCAAGGTCGTGAATACTCTGAGCCACAAAAAGAGAGGGGGGGTTGTGCATTGGCTAATAGCAATTTACATGTATTATTGTGGTTGTGACATAACCTGCATTTGCACTGCTATTTAAAATAATGCTAGTACATATTAAGATTTCGTTTGTTATTGCAGGTGAAGTACCATTACACATAGATGACAATGGAGAAGAACCACAGCCTGGTCCATCTAGACAAACAACAGAGGAGGAAACCCTGCAACAACTAATGGAGATGTTTCCGGACAAAAGTCGAGATGACTTGGTGCGAGCCCTCAGTCTACACGGGACTGTTGGTGCTGTGGCTCTTTCTCTTTCCACTAATTTACCTGAAGATGATTTTAGCAGTGATGATGACAGCCTGTTACAGCCTTCTTTTCCCCCTTCAAAAGAGAAAATAGATTCCTTGCAGTCATTGTTAAAGGAGCTTGGGAAGAATATGAGTGAAGAGAGAGTAAAAGTAAAAATGGAGGAGGAGGACATACTGAACGATGCATTGGCCCATGACAAAAGTCCTGAGTTTGATGTTAAGAAGAAGCTAAGAATCCAGTTTAAAGGCCAACCAGCAGTGGACACAGGTGGTGTTACAAGAGAATTTTACACAAAGTTGTTCCAAGTCATTTGCAAGATGTTCTTTCAAGGCTGCAAATACAAGAGTCCTGTGTACAGTGCAGATATTGTAGCCTCCGGACTAATGCGATACTTTGGCACCTTCATTGTTCACAGTATTTTACAAGGTGGCCCAGGCTTCCCAGTGTTGAGTCCTTCAGTATACTGTTACATTGCTTCTGGTAATATTGATGCAGCAATGGCCAAGATGAATTATGGAGATTGTTCAGAGCCTGTTAAGCATTTCATTGACAAGGTACAAACTGGACATTTGAGTGCATTCTAAAATTACTGACTGAAAGGGAGCTTGTAATCAATTGAGTAGAATACAGTACTTTGATTGTGACTCGAACATCTTTCAATTCACCTATGAGTATACAATCACTACAATGTCAAGTAACATCATAATCATGACCATGGCATTACAGTTCTGTTTGTAAAAATTATCTCAAATTTGTGCCTACTTCTTACTATTGCTTCTAATAACATATGCAAATATGCAGTACAGATGAAATATACATGTAATGATGATATTGCCAACAATCAGCACACAATAGCAATAAAATTACTATGTTTATTTACAGAGCAAAGTTTACAGTCAACTTAATTGAAAACCACTCACATCAGATTTTATTTTTTTATCAATACTAGGTTGCACAAGCTGAAGATGTGTGTAGTCTTGACAAAGAAGAATGCTCAAGTATGTTGTCTGAGTGTGGCCTTGCTGTTGCATTAACAGTAAGTTTGAATTGACTAGCATTGTTGCTTACTGTGAGAACGACCATTTAACTAGAATACACTGAAGGTGTCATTCATCTGTTCAGTAGTTTGCTTGGTCAGTCAGTCAGTCAGTCACACTCCTACAGTCAGTCATTCACTCACTCATTTGCTGACTCACGTATTCATTCATTCTAGAACGACAGCAAGATGAGGGTTATTCAGGGATCATTATACATGATGTAATTGGCCGCCCTAAGATTATTCTTGACCAGTTGGCGGAGGGTTTAAACACACTTGGATTTCGAGCTGCTATGAAAGAATACCCTGAGTTCCTTGAGGCTCTCTTTATCCCCAGCAAGGAAGAGTTGAATGCAGATTCTGTCATTGGCGTGCTTCAGTTCCCTAAAGATATGGATGACAATGAAAGTGTAGTAGCAGGTTACATTCACATGTTTATACAGAATGCAAAGGTTGACACACTGGAAAAATTTCTCTCTTTTGCCACAGGTTCAAAGGCTCTTCCCGATTTTGGCCTGGTAAAAATTCAAGTAAAGTTTGATAGGGTACCGGCTATCTTTGCATCAACATGTTTGTTTCACATTACATTTCCACATCAATTCGAAGACCAAGATAGCTTAAGTTTGTCACTAGAGGCCGTCATAAATACTACCACAGGACAGTCATTTAACTGTGTGTAACTACAAAGTTCAGAAGTTATTAGACTTCCTTGTTATCATGCATTTTCTCTATACTCTCAAATTGTATTTTGCTCTGACTACAAGTTGAGTTAATTTTTTTGGACATCAATTTACAACTCCCTGTAAGTGATGAGTTTACATTGTTAAAGTTACATCTTGTTGTATACATTGTTGACATTTCGAGTTTCTTGTTAGTAACAAGTCAAGGCTATTTGCTCATTAATATTTTGTGCTGTTACTGTTGCTGTTGCTAAGGAGAGTTTCTAAACATCCATACAGAAAACCATCAAACCCACAAAATGGACTTGCACACACCTACACATGAAGGAAGATCAATACATGGTTATATTTGCACAAACAATTCATGTTTTTCTTTTCATGTCTTTTAGAAGCCTAAAATGATTATTTCACAATCCAGGGTCAAGCATGGTTTTAATGCAAAGCACAATGTAATAAATATTTTACCTCATAAATGTATGAAAACCCCTTAGCAACAACTCCAGATCGGTATATGTAGTGAAGTTTGTCCCCCTATAACAATGAAGTGTTCCTTAAAATGAAAGATGGATCCTTTAATGACAACTTGTTCCAACAAAGGATAGTCCTCATACACTGTAATTACGTTAATGATTCGAAAGGTTGAAACCAAAAGACCTATTTGGAAGGTATGTGTTTTTATTTGAACAACACAGTCACTGTAGTATTTCTGGACAAATAATAATTATCACAGTTAGTTGCAATTTATTGTTCCAGTTCTGAACATGTAAGATTACATGTCAAAAGATTAAAAGTAGGTTGAAAAAATTATTGTTAGTTTAAATAAATATATGACTTGTTTGTTTTTTGTTTGTCCTTTAGCGTTACTTGACTGACTCTTGAGGGTGTTTCTTATTACAGTAAGTTGGTGATTTGGTTGAATACTTCAACCCCCTCTAAATATGTTAAATTGTCTGTTACAGGTAGGAGATGCATTTCCTCCTCAGTGAATGGGCAGTTTGTGTCCGGAACTTCAATATAATCAGGGCATTGTTCTGGGACGGGACCTTGCCAATCAATCCCATAGTTGCTATAATCGCCCTAAAAAAAAGGATTATTGTAAGCAATTTGTTACATATGTGCTGCCAAAGCATTAACCCCCAATTTCTTGCAATGCTGGCCTGAGGATAGAGATTGGTGATCATAATTTTTAGTTATTACATTTGACACAAGTAATGCTGATTAAATGAAACCAAACATGTTACATACCTGGAACACTTCACCTTCAGGACCAAGAAATCCCCATGCCTCTTGCAGTCCACTAATCCATAACTGCATGGGCGTTCTGTTTCTTTCTGTACGTAATGGATGGTGAACCCATACGTCTTTCCAATTACTCAGATGTCTGTTGATGATAGGCACGAACACGTAATGTAGGCACCAGAGATGACAATCATCATCTGCATTTAACACATCCTGGTTTTCTAGGGTATAGAAGAGTTCATAGAAGAGGCTAAGGCAGCCCCCATATAAGTCTCTCCAAAGTCGTTCAATCCTTTGATTGTGTGTGCTCTTTATCTAACAATTGGTGTCAAATACTCCCCCCCCACCCCGCCCCCGCTTAAAAAAAAAGGAAAGAAAAGGAGAAAATAAAGAATTGTTTAATAGTCTCTTGATTCCTTCCGGGCTTAATAGTTTCTTCAATTACCATCATACTTAAAACAAGTCACAACCGGATTTGGGAGCATGGCAATCACCATGCTCATTCTTAACAACACACACAAGCATTCATGAAAACAGTTCCCCTTAAACTAATTTAATGAAACTTGTGAGTTATTAATAGTAATATAATACTATTCATACAGCATCATTTCTCCTTGCCTAGAAATCCTCAAGATTAGTTCATGATCCCATAAGTACCTATTTCATTATATAAAATGTAGCATCCTTTGTTAAAACCTATTCAGGATCTTAAAGTGTAGCCTGAATTCAAGATCCCATCTATTACAAACCCAGGAAAGGTCATCTAGCTAAGGAAAGATAGATTACAAGTAGTCCCCATTTTTCTTAACGGATAGTAGATTGAGTGAAACCGTGCATCATAAAAATCATCCCACGCGAGAAAGAAGAGACGCGGCGGGGAGATGCGCTCTACTATCCCTGAGGAAAAATGGGGACTGCTCATAGTCTAACCTAAGTAATAATGATGCAGTACTCTGTACCTGTTATCATACTTCCCCTGCCTGGCCCTCGCTGGATGTGAGTAAGCATATAGGTTGCTACATCTACGTTCTCCCCTCCTTTATCAGAGCGGACCCGAGATGGAAGGCCGTACTCTGACACAGCTTCACGAAAACATGAAAGAACAGTGCTTGCCTTGTTGTCATTTGAGGCCTTCAAATAGACTGGGATTCGAGAAAAGCCATCGATTCCTCCATGTATAACAATTCTCCATCTGTTAAAAAAACCCCTTAATTTACATACAAGATCAGAGTGACAAACAAAAAATAAAAGCTCCTGTTAGGGCAACCTTATCATGTTTGGTGTTACCTGCAAGGGGTTAAAAAAGATGGGGACAGGGAAACAGTTATCAATCATGATCAATGTCTTCAACTGTAGCTAAAACACAGTTTAAAAAGTCTTGCATTAGCTGGTGTTGTGGCCACAGTTTAGTGTTTTCTTTTTGGTTCATTCAAGGTGTGTATGTTTACAGGAGGTATCCAGTAGCAGAATTTTGATTGTGTTTAACTTGGACCCACGCACAAGATCACGAGGGGAAACTATGACAATGTACACTGTACAACAGGTATCTTTATCAGTACCTTATCAGCTTATGGTTCCCATCTATGTGCCATAGTGAGAGTGGATACCTAACATTGTAATGTCGCCTCCTAGTGGTACTTCTCCATCTCTCCATAATACCAATGGGATCTGTTCGCAACAGGGATAATCTTATTCTTTCTCGCTGAATGCGAAACCCTTTGCTTTGTAAATTACCTTTGAGCATTCTTATACCCATTCCAGGATGCTGGCTTGAAGCAGTTTGAACGAGCTCATCCAGTTGGTTGTCTTCTATATCACTGAACATACCTGAACCAAAGCAATATAATGGCGTAAAAAATTTTCATTGTAGGTGTTGGGTAATGAATAGTAATAATGATGATGGTGATGATGATGATGATGATGATAATAATAATAACAATAATAATAATAACTTTATTTTAGTATGATTTTGTCATAAATCTCAAGCTAGGTAGAATGGTGAACAAAATTTTAGTTCAAACACCCCTGTGTGTTTTACTAATACTGGGCATCCAGATATGTAAAACTGCCATAATAATTTAATAACATTCTTCAGGCCTGAGGCTACACTTGACATTGCAACTTTTTCTCAGTCAAGCTACCCCTGAAGTGTGAAAGGTCAACAACAATAAAGATAATGATGGTATAAGGAAAAATCTATCATTTATGGGAGTGGATCCCTAGGTAAAAGTAAGTGGAAGTCAACATTTTAATTTGCAAAATCTTAATCACCACTGCTTGGTGCAACAACTATCAACATTACTTTTTTATAGCCTTAATCCTGTACTAAATATTATCACTTTGTTATAAAAATTGTCCTTGTAGTAGTTTATCATCTCATTAGACAAAAATAAAAGATTCACGTTACTTTATACCTGATACACTCAACCCAAATGTTGACATCCTCCTCTCAACTGTCCTGGCACTCACTCCAAGGATTTTACTTATGTCACATACTTTAAACCCTTGCTCAAGTAAAAAATGAAGCTGTTCCTCGCTGATTTCATATGAAGGTCTCCCTCGTTGCCCTCTACTATTCAATGGAGCTTGATATGCATAACAAGGTTTCTTTGATCAATTTCAACCAACATCCTGTAAGCATGTCCAATCAATTCTGTGACTAGTTCATCCACATCGAGGCCGACAGCTATTCTTTGCAGAAAATCCAACTTGAAAACTATTGGTTGGAAATCTACTGATGGATCTGCAGACCCTGTAAATCTGTCTATAGCACTGATGATATCCAAGACAGCTAAATTTAAATAGGCTTTGTCATCAGACATCTGCGGGATCAAATATTTGAGTAATCTCAAGATGAAACAAATTGATCAATTAACAGCGCTTATCGCATGAGAATACAATTTCTGGGGGAATATTTAAGCTACTTCTACATGAGAAATTTCTGCAATTTGATTGGCTTAGAGCAGTGGTATTTCAGCTTAAGCTTAATTTGAAATACTTACATATGAAAATTACAAAACCTTTGCAGGTAGTAGTATAAACAAATAATAGCATGATGTGTACGTGATTTTTGGTATAAATACTACTTGTGACATTTCAAAATTGTCTTAAATTTCACTCGTGAAATTTCAAATATCACTCGTGGTATTTATGCTAAATATCACTACAAAACATGCTTTACCTTTTCAAATTAAGCTGAAGAGATGCAAACAGGTAGCGCGTTGCCTCCCTGTTTGTGTCACGTATAGTGTCCCACTAAAGAAGGCAGAAGTCGGTTGGACAACACTCACCTCCCTCGAAGACTGTGCAGCATACTGGCGATCGGCCATGTTGTTGTCGGCGTCTGGTTTGTCGGGAGTGGAGAAGGTCTCCCGAGTCCACTCGACCACCATTTGAGCGGGGGTAGGTCAGGTCAATTGAGCCCACGATCTTAATCGGTCGCTGACCAGCGGGTAAAAGTCAAAGTCGAAAAGTTGAATGTCGGATGCGGAAACTTGCAAGTACAATGCTCAAAGTCGGATGCCGGAAGCGAAAACTTAAAGGACAAATGCTAAATGTTGGATGAGAAAAAATGAATGTACATTCCACTGAACTTGAAGGTAGAATTCCAAAACCTGACTGTTGCTTATGAAAAGTTGAATGTCGAAAGCGAAAACTTGAATGTTGCATAAATCAAAGTTGAATGTTGAATGCAAGAAAGTTGAATCGCGAGTGCAACCTCAAATGACAAACACAAAGTGTAGGATAGATTGTGCAAAGTAGAATGTAAAATGAAACATTGAATTTTGGCGGAAATGGAACGCCATAATACATTACGATTCTGGAAAAACATTTTTCGGCCAAAGTATATTGACGTTGTTCAAAGCGTTCAAAGTTGCAGTATTTACCGTTATCTTGCTACTTCGGCGAAACACTTCTCTGTTGCCAATACGGCCGTGGATGGCGTGGTAAACGCCACTTTAATCCTTGCTAGGCGCTCAGAGACCATCCTAAGTAGAAGGACGTAGAATTAAAAGAGAAAGGAAGATGAAAAATAGGCAGAAAAAGAAAAGAGCTCGAAATTACCATATGCTGACAAAACTTGAATCTGGAAAATGTCGTCGCGTGACAGCGGCCAAGACGTCATTTGTCTAAACTGCAGCGGAATCTAAACGAATGCACAACTTTTTCCCGGCCAGAAAGCACTTAGTGAAACAATGTTACAGTAATGTTCTTTTTCTGACAAGCGATGGTGACTTAAAAAGAAAAAATTTCCGAACCGCCGCACCGTTTTGGCCTCAGCGTGATCTGATCGTTGTGGAGTCACGAGTCGACGCTTCTGGCCAGCGGTCTATTGAAAGAAATCTGATCCCATTTTTTTCTTTTTTCGGGCGAGAATCATTCATGTCAATATCCAATGTCTTCCGTCAAGGAAAAAGAGAGAGAGCCATTGGAGTACTGTTGCTCCCGAGAACGAGGAACATCTTGGTCCCGAAAACTGAGTTCATTACGCCCTAGAATTACGGGTTTTTTTTCTCAAAGGACTATTATCTGGCGCTATAAATTCAATTCTTGGCACAATGATTAGCCTCGCGTTTAGTATTTTCTTGGACATGAAAATATCGGGGGTGACGCTATTCGGTGGAATGGCGGACTGACGGAATGATGGAACGGAATGATGGAATACATGGAATATTCTAAAATACGGAATATACGGAATACTCTAAAACGCATAATAACAGAAAAATCGTTTAATCGTAAAAGGGTATACATGTATACAGTCGACTCCAATAACTCGAACCCTCGCTATTGACTCGAACCTCGTGCTAACTCGAAGTAATACTAATTTTTGTTTCTCTTCAGATCATTTCTATATAATTTTACCCTCATTACCTCGAACCATGTTTGAAGCGCGTGACAAGCAAAAGAATTGACTTACCGTAATGATTCGATTTAGCGCCCAGGCGCTTATTTACTTTTGGTGCCTCTAGGGAGGACGCTTATTCGGGACAGGGCGCTTATTTCTTTTTTGAGAAACAACCAAATGTTAAAAAAAGAACTTTGATATTTATTTAAAAACGAACAATATTTGAAACTGTAGCAGTAACAAATACTGACGGTGAATGCTCAGTTAACGCGAGGGACTTACCTTGAAACTTGTTGAGCACTTTGTCGATGGAACTTTCTTTCCTTATATTCACCTTTCTTGAATGAAAGCTCGCAGTCAAAACAAAGTGCCAGTCGATTAAGGTAATAGATCAAGGAGACTGGAAAACGGACTTGTTGTCCCTGGATCCTTCCTCGCCTGAACGACCAGCCGAGCGATCTCCACAAAATTTGAAGAAGAGATCATTCCTTTGAAGACTTCGAAGACTCTGGAAAATCTAAAGCAAACGACCGGACAAATTTAGGCACAGGTGAGGCCCCCATTAATTGGTAGTACAATCCTGTCAAGCTTAAGTTTACAATTCTTTTTTTTTTTTTAGAACAGCCGATTTATGAAAGTTATCCGACATTAGATTCCCGTGATACCGGACCCTTCACCCGTCAAGATGGCTTTCAAAACCGTTATAAGGTCTATAGTGTGGCTTACGGCAGTACGAAAATTGAATTTTTAATATTGCCTCTGGTTTTTCGTCAGTCCAGTTCAAATCAAATACAGAATATTCTGTAAATTCCGTGTTTTAGAGTATTACGTATATTCCGTATTTTACAACTGATTGCATGTATTCCTCCATTCCGCCGAATAGGGTCACCCAAATATTGGGAAGGACATCATAAAAAAAGATAGCAGACCGGTAGGACTTTTAAATCGATGAAAGTGGCTCACTCATTTTGCAACTTCATTTTATAATATGCTTCATAATTTGTTTCCACAATAATATTTATGATATTTAGATGATAACCAATGCACAACGCACAACTTGTCACATTACCGATTGGACAGGATACCATGAACTCAAACTCTTGCGCAGGAAAGTTACAGAATGAAATTATTTTTTGCTGCACTCAGTCACATTCCTTTACACTGAAACCTTGGCTAAAAGGTCTCTTTTTAGATCTGTAGATTTGTAAGGTATTTCGAAATACCCGTACGTCTTTCAACACTAACATTGAAAGATGAAAGTTTGTTGCTGTGATAATTATGACACAGATTGTAAACATCAAATATAATTGGATGTTTTAAGCCCAAATATTCCATCACCTCTTCAACAGCATGGAGGGGGAAATGGGGGCTTACGGTATTGAGCTTTTTTTCAAGCGGTATTTCGGTAATTTGGATTTTAAAGTGGGGTATTGCGGTATCATTTAGCCCTGCGGTATGCCGTATTTCTTCCTTTTGGTGAACGGTATTCGGTAAAAGAAGATCATGGTATTGCGGTACTGTTCATTGCGCTCTCCTGCGGTAATGCTAGCCTGCGTAGCAGGCGCTTGGATGACCCCTCGCGTGTCTCCCTCGCGCGCGCCCGTTCTCTCTCGCGCCCACTACTTCCTTGCGCCTGCTATGCGGGCTAGTTAAATGCACGTCAGTATTTTTAAGACTTTAAATTAATGGTAAATGATTACCATTACACAATTTCTGACAGATAATCTATGATGAAATTGGTAGGGTATCTTTTTCGTTCGTTGTATCGATCAATTCAGGAATTCGAGGTCGTCTCACGCTTCCCCGCAGAATTATATTAATTTAGTTAAATACCGCAATACCGTGACAAAAATTGGTAAATCTCGAAATACCGTGTCAACAATCGACGAAATACCGATACCGCATTTATTTTCGGTATTGGGTATCTACCAATGTCCCCGATAGCATGGCGTTACTCTCCAACTTCATCACCTTTCTTCAGGTCCGCTGACCCCTACACGCGCTGACCCGTAACGTCCGTTGGAATGTATGTAACGAAACACAAGCAGCCCACATTCAAAGTACTTGGAGACTAGCCGAGGCTGAATTCATCATCATTAATAGGAAACACATAAAACTGTTTCACTTCACGATTTCTGGTGATACAAAGATTGTTTTTTTTAAACTTATATTTCACGTATTTGTTTGGATCCCGCTGCAGTTCGGACAAATGAACGCTGTCACGCGACAACATTTCCAAGATTCTACTCTCCTTAGCAGATGGTAATTTCGAGTTATTCTCTTTTTCTGCGAATCTTTCATTTTCCTTTCTCTTTTAATTGTATATACTTCCATTTAGGATGGTTTTGAGCGCCTACCAAGGCTTAAAGTTGCGTTTACCACGCTATCCTTGGCCATATTGGCAACAGAGAAGTGTTTCGCCGAAGTGGCAACTTAACGGTAAATACGGTAACTTCGAACTGTTTTTACAACGTCAGTATACTTTGGCCGAAAAATGTTTTTCCGAAAACGTGATTTATATCCCTCCAACGTCTGATTCGTCACTGTGATTGCTTTCAGCAGCGTTGGACTTTTGAGAAATTATTATTTTAAAATCAACTCCAACGCTCCATCTAATTTAATATGCAATATTTGAAAATTTATTTTTTATTCCCTTCGGCAGTTTTTCGATGTTTATCGACTGATATTGCATTAAAAGTCCTTTTTCTTCATCACTGTGTGATTTTCTCGTTATTTTGCGTTGCGATAG